AACTCACGGAATATTTATTTTTGCTCTTGCATTCTGCAGGCGACTCGTTTAGCGATATTTAGGCAGCGTGTGATACTGCACAAAGCATTCTCCTGGGTGTAGGCCAGAGTTGTTATTGCAGGTTTTGCAAAAAAAAAAAAAAAAAAACACAGTTTCCCTCCTGTCTCTTTTTGTTTGCCCATGGCTACAAATGGCACAGTCCTTGCTGCTTTACCCCAGGAGCTTTTAGATGAAGTGGCTCATCTAGCCTTTCTTCACAATCATTCCGTGCAGACGTGCTCTGTTTTCGGGCTCCAACCTATACGTCACCCACAAGCTGTTGGATGAGGTTGCGGCAATACTGCAGGTGTTCCTGTTCGTGCTGGCCATGTATCTGCAGCTGTATGCATCTCAAAATAGAACTGTTGACAATGGAATATTCCAGAATCCAGAAAAAGAGCTTGTGCCGCCATTTCATTGTCTTGCGACAAAATGCGTAGCTCGCACACTAATGATCCACACGGTCAACTGCACCCATGTTTTCTGCGTAGTTATATGTAACCACCGGTTTCTTCATCGTCACTTTCTTTACTCCTGCTTGTGTGCTAGTGACTTCTTTCATAGATACATTGTGGGCAGAACTAAGCATGGTGACTTGACGTTTGTCTCTCCAAGCAAGCGCCATGTAAGAATCTCCTTTCCTGTAGGCTGCCACTTCACCTTTCTTTAGCTTCTTGACCTGCCGTGGCATTTGCTTGTGATTCCGCATCACGGTACCTGTCAATAATATTTTCTGTCTTAGTAACTCATCGGCAAACATTGGCAAAATGTGAAATCTGTCGGCGTAGAGGTGGTTAGTTATTCCCCGGCGTATCTTGCTGCACTTTCTGGAGCAGGTGCAGAATAATCCGGCAGGTGAAGGGCAGCTAGGGGTGGCTGAGACTGTCAATTGTTGTGCTGCTGTAGTAGGGCTCAAATGCCGAAATATACCCAGTTTGGCAGTCGACAAATGTGTAAATATGCATGCCTCATTTGGTTGGCTTCTGTGGATTGTAGCCTTTGAAAGAAACACGGCCCTTGAATCCAACAGTGCTCTCGTCGATGCAAATCTTGGGGCTGGCTCTAAAATACTCTCAGCATTTCGCTTTGAAGTATTGCACAATGTCCCTTATTTAGCTTCCACGAGTTGGCGGCCGACCTGAAAAGGCAGCATGGCATGGGGCTATGTGCAACATCCAATAAATTTGCAGAAATCTCTTCTGGCAGAGGAAGTACGCGAAGAAAGGCACCTTGTTTACAAAATTGCGCCTAAAATACTCCTTCAGCTCTGCTTTCGGATTCAAGGCCATGTCTATAATTACACCAAGAAAAGCTTTGAATTCTATCAAAGTGACGTCTTCCCAGAGCTTTCAGATGGACTCCTTTAGAAGCTCACCGGCACTCAAAATTTTTTCACGCGCATAGCTGTTTGTTTCGTGCACGATATTGTCCATCGGTAAAAAACAGCTGAAAAACATCCAGTTCTTTGTGATTGGCAGCCCTTACTTGTGATCCTGCGTTCATCGCAGTGAAGGAAAAATGAGTAAAATCAGGCAGTGAAAATTATTCAAGTAATTATTCTTCCAGTCCGCAGCACGTTGTCGCGCACTATTCTCCTGTGTGTCATCAGACATGTTGTCTCCACCGCCGTCGACGTCGTCTTCGTCATTCACTTCGGTCAAATCACTGTCATCACTGTCTTATGGGGGCACGTAATTCTCTTCCTCACGAATGTCATAGTCATCGCTTTTGCTAAAAGCGCCACCGTAAAACACATGCTGTGAAAACGTGGCCGTGCTTTTCAACGAACCACGTAGGAGTGGATATGCTCTAGGTTTCGTGCTGAACATAGTGCTGCATCCTAGTGTAAAAGAAAGTAAACGTCAACAAACAAAGCTCGCTGATTTCTCGAGAGATGGCGCTTCATGTATTAAAAGAAGTGTGTGTGACTTGCAGTGAGAAAATCGCAAACTTTAAACGAGGAACACGCCCGCCAGGCGTTGCCCGACAGCGGACCGCTACGGCCCTGTAGCGTGGTTGGGTGCTGCCCGACAGCGGACTGCAAAGGGTTAATGTGCATTAACTTTTTTATCACTACGCCCGTTCTTATCGATCACCGGTTATCCAAACTTTGGTTTCTTGATTTTGGCTCATTTAATTTGTTTCCCGTGCACCCAGCACCTTTAGTAGTTACGGTAGTCCTGCCACACCACTTTTAGCATCAATTTGATTTTGCCCGTGTTAACAACATAGTGATTTTCGACAGACCTTCGTGCAAACCAATGTGCGTGTACTGTTCTGTGTGTGTACTGTTTTTATACTGTTCCTGGGTTATTATGCTGTTTCCTGGGTCATAGCACGTAGGCTGGATAACCGCTGGTCATTAAGAGTAACTGTCTAGATTCTCAGAGACGGTAAGGGAGTGAGGGGGAGACAGAAAGTTAGGTGGGCCGACGAGAATAAAAAATTTGCAGATATAACGTGGCAGCAAAAAGCACAAGACTGGGTTGATTGGCGGATCATGGGACGGGAGGAGCCTTTGCCCTGCAGTGGGCGTAGTTAGGCTTATGGTGATAATGATGATGGGTCATTTAAGATCAAAATTTATATTGAATTTTTTATATTTCAACATGAATATTGTTCTTTAGTGCACTGTTTACCAGCTAGCAATCAAGAAATTACACACTTTTCACATTTTAATTCATTCCAAAATATTTTACTTACTCTACAACATATATTTTTTTGGAAAGAGCATTTCATTGTGCAAAATTCGATATGCCGCAATGTGTGCTGGAGCTCTTTTCAAACAGGCAAAAACAGTCGTCCCAAGATATATGAAAAATAACCATTTTTGCAGGGCATTAAAAGAGTTAAACATTAAACTAGTTCTGTAAGAAGGAGTGTTACTTTCGTGTTAAACTGATTCCTATGATGGAGGAATCGACCATCTTTTTTTTTCCTGAGTAACTCAATGTGCTAAGCCAAAACAGAATTTGGAGAACTTCTTTAGATGGACACATCGAGAATAGCCACCCTGAAGTTGTGAAATCTTACTCTCTTCCAGCACCCTCATGAGTGTTGCTGTTGCGTCCTCCAGCCTCAAAGCGCAAACACCAAACTGGCTGGATAACATATTCGAAAAGTCTTCGACCTAGTACACTTACACAGACGAAGAACAAAATAGATAATACAGGTAAACCTGCCTATAACGAACCTTTATATAAAGAATTCCTTGACAATACGAACTTTCTATATTCCCCGCTGTTACTCCATAGAAGCACATTTATGTGCAACCTCTATGTAACAAAGTAACAGCAGGAGACATCCTTGATATAACGAATTTGGTCACAGACAATTTAGGAGTTTTGCCCCGGATTTCGTCCATTTGGCACAAGCATGCATCCATCATGGTTGTTTTGCCGCCAACCAAGCACTCGTGGGGGTGGGGTGCTCGGGGCTTTGGCGTCTCCCAGGCAAAAATGAACGCTTGTTATTGTGTGCGAGTGTGCACAAGGCGGGCAGAGCAGGCAGGCCTGCCTGCCTGCCCACGCACCTTGCGCACATGGCTTATGGAACGGGGCAGTAACGACAGGGACAGAGCAACTAACTCGCGGGATGTTTTCGATACTGTTCGAGCATTTCTCAGATTGTGTCATGACTACCATATTTACTCTCGTAATCCTTGCACTCGCATAATTCTCGCACTCCCCACATCGCCCAAGAAAAAATATGATTTTTTTTCCTCAAGTAATTATCGCACCCCCGAAAACTGCCGCAATAATGTCGTCTGCTCGTTCCAGCCATTGACGATGATAGTGCGCACCATCTGGCGCCATCTCTTAAGCATCAAGCGTACTATTGCACGGAGATTCGATTCAATTCAAGCCAAGCCGAAGTGGCCAGTGCGCGCTGCGGCGTGTTTTGTATGTTGTGTCGGTAATCTTGGCACGTTATGGGGCGATACTGAAGCCACACGGCTGCTTCAAGTTGCAAGTGATAGATCATGCACTAAACAACGGCAACAGGGCCACCGGAAGGCCCTTCGGAGCCTACGAGTTTTGTGTTCGCTACTGGTGACGGCAGCTGAAAGCCACTAAGACGCGTTGGGCCTGCCGTGTGCCTAAAACTGGGATGGATGGTAAACTTTATTTCTTCAGAAGGAAACTGCGGACGATTCTGTTAAATAGCCATCAGCCCAATACTGACGTTTTACGCTTACCTTTTGAGGGCTCCTGTTGAGCGCCGACCATTACCGCTACGCCCGCAACAACCACAAGCTTCGCGTATGTTATTCTAATTCTCGACTATTTGCTTCCACTTTTTGTGTCTCAAATAAATCTTGCCTTGTGTTGAATCTCTGCTTTTATTGTTGAGGTAAGTTCTAATTAGTGCTTCTTAAAGCTTGCTGTAAGTTGCTGGTGTGAGAATCCTGATTTGCGGCTACTTCATTTTCTTTTTCGCTCTCTGCCTTTTCGTGGAAAGTTTTTTCTGCGTAATTCTCGCACCCCCCAACTTTGCATCGCTTTTCTGGCAAAAAAAATGCGAGGATTATGCGAGTAAATACGGTATGTTGCAATGAACTATTCGCTGCGTTGCGAAGTAAGAGTCCTGCGTTTTCTCTATGGCGATGGTGAGCTAGGCCATTTATTCAATTTCAGGATTTACATTTCTGTTTTCTGACCGTTTCTATATTTGTGGTGCATTATTTTGTGATAACGAAATTTTCGCTATAGCCTTGGGAATTCGTTACTTTTATTGGGGGGGCACAATGTACTTGTGCAGTCTTACGGGAACTTTGTCCTCTAAAAGCGTTGTGCATAGTTTGCCCGAGACTTTGGGAGTCCCTCTTGCTGCCAGTGTGTCTTAGTGCCTCTGTAGCTGTGTTCGTGCGAAGCAGAAACATGTTTGTTGAGCACAGTAGCAGCAGATTTAGCCGGAAGTGAGACAACGCCGATTCAATACTCCAAATGCTTGTCTCACAGCCTGGCAGCGATGGTGTGATGGACCACACTCGCATGGTCAAGGAGTACAGCCGTTCCTCTGCTGACCAGGAAGAGCCCCTGGCCCACGAGCTGCGGCCACCGCACGTGCTGCGACACACCATGGACTACCTTCTGGTGCACCTGATGGATTCGCCGCAACCGGTGGGCGAGTGGTACGACTTCATCTGGAACCGGACGCGCGCTATCCGGAAGGTGAGAGACACTTTGTCATTGGCGGCTTCTCCTCTGAGCTGGACCCCTTCTGTGCAGGACATCACACAGCAGCACCTGTGCGACCAGGCGTGTGTTGCTCTGGTGGAGCAGTGTGCGCGCTTTCATATCCACTGTGCCGCGGCTCTGTGCGAGCAGGACATGTCAACCTTTGACCCCAAGATCAACAATGAGAACCTGGTCAAGTGCCTACAAACTTTGAAGCATTTCTACTACGACCTGTCGCTGCGAGGATCGCGCTGTCCGAACGAGCCGGAGTTCAGGGCCTACGATGTGCTCTTGCACCTAAACGAAGGAGACACCATTAGGTAAGGCAATCCCCTTCGGAGTGCTGATAAATGCAATGTAATCTTGAAAGCCCCACTAGAAACCGCCTCTGATACACTGTTCCGAACACTTCTATATAAGTTGCTGGAGTTATTTTAATACTTTCAGTATAAGCACTACGGTGCTGTAACAGAAACAACCTGTAAAAACAGGTAATCACAGTGACGTTGTTTACCTGTTTTTGGCCACGGTCAAGTGTCTTCTTGACACGCCACCAAAATACGAATTCGGTGATCCCACCTGAGCCAACTGCACCAAAGTGCACCACATCAAATTTACTGCGCCATCCTGATAATATCAACGGAAATTGCGCCAAACTGTGCCAAAGGCGGATTTGGAAGAGTGTGTCATCGGCAATATCATGCCAGCGCGTCAAAACATGTGCACTTTTTTCTCGGTGCCACCAAAGTCACGATCGCGTGCCAATAATTATTCCGCTGAATTAACAGCGGTCGTGCGTGCGTACTAAATAATCCATGATGCTATGTTTGGTGCTGATGCAACTTCTGTTGTGCACATCCGCTTAATGGCAAAACGTGCTCTCCGCAGGGGCTCGATCGTCTACCCAGTCCAATTGGTAGTGTGAAACTGTGGCGGCAATTTATCGGCGGACGTCGTCTAATTGAAAGGGTTTTCACTGATAACTTGACGCGTGCCGCTAGAATATCTGTCACGTCTACTTCTGGACATTGCGATCTAATTTCCTGTGCTTCGTGTCCACAGAAGAACACGTGAATGATGGGGACCCGTTTACAAGTTCTTTTAGTGTGCTTTATTTCTGGATATTCATTCAAAAGAGCTTTTTCGTAATACCTTCCTGTAGAACATCCACGCTTGTAATCGCTGTTGCGGTGAAAGGCCTAAAAGACCCTGCCCTTTCGAACTCGTTATTGCTAGGGTCACAACACAAATATTTCCGAGTGCTTCTCTATAAATGTTATCTCCTTAATGAAAGCATGTGTCCTGGTCGGAATATCCGTAATACGGTTTAATATGCTCGGCTTTCAGTAGTGGGGCCATCGCTGGCGGCTTTGTTGTCAAAAGGCCCTCAGTGAAGCGGCTATGTCATGTTATATGTATGCTCCTCGCTTTCCAGATTCAGTAGCATACGAATAAAAAAAAATTGAATATCACGGCATCGCATTCATTGCCTAATGTTTTGAAGGGGTGGATGTGGGAAAGGCTGCGTTGCTTGAAGGGTGCTATGTCTCGAGGCATAATGAAACTGCTCGTAAACTTTCTGTGCTACTAACCTCTGCTCTGCGTTTAGACAATTGACAGTACGAAAGCTGCGGAAACTAGAGAGATCATTGTCCCTTCAGCCAGCGTTTTTGTGAGTTACGCGATATGAGGTTCAAAAGAAACAATTTGTTACTACAGTTAAACCTGGATATAAAGCAATTGATAAATTTCTGGAAAAATTCGTTATAAAGAGGATTTTGTTATATGCAGGTTCAGCAAGAAAATTTTTAAAATCTCCTGCATGTTGGAACTGTCGTCAAATGCTCGAACAAAGTAAACCACCTGTCTTGAACGAGCATGAAACAACGCAGGGAGGGGGGGGGGGGGGTTTCTCGAGAAGCCACAATGAAATTCGATTTTAAGGCAGTCGCGATCACTGCCGCACGTGCTATCTCGGCAAGTATTAGTGCACTTTCAATGCGAAGGGACTGTGTGAAAAGAGCACTTCCCCCCGAGCGGCCGTATGTGCTTACACTAGTATTTTGTAGGAGTTCCGCAATATCGGATCCAAAGAGTTGGTTGCCAGCCTTATTTTGGTTTTAGTTGGTTGCCAGCCTTATATATAACATTACAATTTTTTGCTATTGCGTTCATAACATTGCATTCAATGCGCCGTCGTGTTGCCAGAACTAATCGGCTAATCGCAAAAGCTACTAACTGCGAACTTGCGGCACAGAGCAAGACTGGAAACGCGTGATGAGTCAACCTCCTCTGAAGATCCGTCGTCACCGTGGTCTTGCAGAGTTTTCATGAGCGCCTAATCTGACATCCCCTCGGTGGTGACGACACGGTTGTCCAAGATTTAAAAAAGTCACAGTTTCGCTGCAAGGGCGAAGCAGTGAATGCGATAGCAACAACTTGGAATGTCACGCTGAGAACGGCAAGCAGATTGAAAACAACATACGCAGGACGAGAGTGAACTAACGTTTACCGCTCGACACCCAATGCGCTGTTTAAACAAAAACGAGGCATAAAGCGTAATCAGAGGTACAGATATGAGTGAGAACTAACAAGTGCCCCAATTGTTACTTTGCTGTGTTAGAAAAGTGCACTTTTTCGCAGAAAGTGCCTGTTCAGGGAGCAAAGTGATCTTTGTGCGCCTGGCAGCTAAACGCAGTCGTTCCGGTCAAAGTCGAAGGCGCACAATTCTCCCCACCGAAGGATAAGCGCGCGTGCGCAAGCATCTAACCCTCACCCCCATTCGTGGGGCAAAGGACGAGCTGGACACTGAGTACGAGCAGCTTTCTTTTTTCTTTTCTTTCTTTAGTTTTCATAAATGTAATACTTATACAGTGAAATCTCGGTAGAATGAACCCCACATTAACGAACTTTTAAAAAATTTCGCGCTGACTGCTAATAGTTTCAATGTGAAATTATTTCATTACTACATACTTCTGAATACTGAACTTTTCAGAATAACCAGCGTTAATTTAGTTCTGCGTTATATCAACGGCTCAGTACTAAGAACTTATGTTCTGAATGAAATTCGTTGCGACCACAGGAGCGGTACGCAAGCAGACGACAAAGCGAACGGACGCCTTGCTTCTCGGAAAATGCGCATCGGTGTGGAGGAAAAAAACAACGAAACGGTGACTTTTTTTTTTTCTTTTGTTGAAACGCCGACACTGCAAGTTTACAAGCGGGCGCAGAGGCGAGGGCAACACGGGAGGGCAAGGTCAGTGAGGCAGAGTGAGAGTTGCGGAGCAGGAAGCATGGGCACGGAAAACCTGAAACGGCGAGAGAGCAGAAAACGAAACGCGAAAAATTTGCTCTTTTAGCACTTTTTTTTCTTCGAAAGAGGCGATGACAGCTGTGACGCGTCGGGTTTTTTTTTTTTGGAAGCCTTGTTTTTTCAGTTTTGTTCATCTCTTTTCGGTGATTACTTATCGCGTCCGCAAAGCAAGTCGGCGTTCGCGCTGCGGTGATACTACGTCATCATCATCATCAGCCTGACTACGTCCACTGCAGGACAAAGGCTTCTCCCATGTTCCGCCAGTTAACCCGGTCCTGTGCTTGCTGCTGCCAATTTATAACCGCAAACTTCTTAATCTCATTTGCCCACCTAACCTTCTGTCTCCCCCTAACCCGCTTGCCTTCTCTGGGAATCCAGTTAGTTACCCTTAATGACCAGCGCTACTTCTCCGGCCGATGTCCATTTTTCTTCTTGATTTCAGCTTTGACATCCTTAACTGCCCGTTTGTTCCCTAATCCAGTCTGCTCGCTTCTTGTCTCTTAATCAATATGGATCAGATAGTTAAAATAGCGGAGAAATTTTACAGAGATCTGTACAGTAGTCGGGACAACCAGGACTTTAATACTATAAGAACTAGCAGTAACCCAGATGACACCCCATCAGTAACAATACAAGAAGTCAGAAAAGCTTTGGAGAGCATGCAAAAAGGCAAAGCTGCTGGTGAGGATCAGGTAACATCAGATCTACTGAAAGATGGAGAACAGATTGTGTTAGAAAAACTAGCCACCCTGTTTACGAGGTGTCTCCTGACAGGAAGAGTACCAGAGTCTTGGAAGAACGCTAACATCTTCTTAATACATAAGAAAGGAGATGACAAGGACTTGAAGAATTACAGGCCGATCAGCTTGCTCTCTTTTGTATACGAGCTATTTACAAAGGTAATTGCTAACAGAGTAAAGAAAACATTAGAATTCAATCAACCAAAGGAACAAGCAGGATTTCGAACAGGCTACTCAACAATTGATCACATTCATACTATCAGTCAGGTAATATAGAAATGCTCAGAATATAACCAATCACTATACATAGCCTTTATAGATTACGAGAAGGCCTTTGATTCAGTAGAAATATCAGCCATCATGCAGACACTGCGGAATCAGGGCGTCGATGAAGTATATATAAACATCCTGGATGAAATCTACAGGAGATCAGCTGCTACCGTAGTGCTTCATAAAGAAAGCAACAGAATACCAATCAAGAAGGGTGTAAGGCAGGGGGACACAATCTCCCCAATGCTATTTACCGCGTGCTTACAGGACGTCTTCAGAAGACGAGAATGGGAACAGTTAGGGATAAGAGTTAATGGAGAGTATCTTAGTAACCTGCGCTTCGCCGATGACATTGCATTGCTGAGTAACTCAGGGGACGAATTGCAACTCATGATTACGGAGTTAGACAAGGAGAGCAGAAAGGTGGGTTTTAAAATTATTCTGCAGAAAACGAAAGTAATGTACAACGACCTCGGAAAAGAGCAGCGCTTCGAGATAGGTAATAGTGCACTTCAAGTTGTAAAAGACTGTCTACTTAGGGCAGGTAATAACCGCGGAGCCAAACCACGAGATTGAAGTAACTAGAGGAATAATAATGGGGTGAAGCACATTTGGCGAGCACTCTCAAATTATGACAGGTAGATTGCCACTATCCCTCAAGAGAAAGGTATATAACAGCTGTATCTTGCCGGTACTTAGCTACGGAGCAGAAACGTGGAGGCTTACAAAGAGGGTTCAGGTTAAATTGATGACGACGCAGCGAGCGGTGATACTACAAATGAGTTCATCTCTGCTTGCGACGAAAAAGCGGAAACAGCTGGTTGGTTGGTTGGTTGGTTGCTTGGTTGTTCCTCAAAGTCCTGGCGTAACCCACCACTTGGGATCAGTCATGAAATGGACGCGGATTTTCACTAAGCGAGACTATGGATATTCTTCGGCAACTGGAAGGCAAAAAGCAGGCTGTTGTGACCAAAGAACCGAATCGCACCCCAGGAAT